AGGTACATATTGATCATGATTTCTTTTCCCTTATCTGTTTTATTATATGCTTGGAATTAATTAAAAAAAATGAAAATAAAAATAAAAAGTCTGTTTTGGGATTAGCAGTGATTCATGAGATGTTGCTTAGAGTTTACCACTGAGGGAGTACTACTAAGGCTCAATGACAAAACAACCAAAAGTAATGCTAACATTCTGAAATGAAAGGTTATGATTGAGTGAAAGTGAAGCTGATAAAAATCAAAGGTGTGAGAGGGTATGAGAGAGCGAACGCTTCCACGGATGTCAGCATCTCTGCTTCCTTTTGGGGAAACAGCTGCAGGGGATGTTTGGTGCCAACAGGGCTTAGCTCACATTCAGACACTCTCAAGATGGTTTCAAGGATTAAGGGACTTTGCCTAAAGCCCCGAGGACTGCCATGTGTGAAAATGGTTGAGAAGACAGGCTGTGAGAAGAAAGCCAAGTTCAATTCAAGACTTAAAAAAAACTTTTAAATGCTAGTTCAAGCAAAATGTAAAACCAGTCTCGCAAAAAATGAACTTCAACTGGAAAAAAGGATCAATTCAGCTGCTGGTCTGTGTGACCTGAGTGACTTCTCTCTACAGTTACAGCCTGCAGAAAGAAAAACGTGTGTCACTGCTAAACTTTGACACTATGAGCAGCTGCATTTACATTTTTCATCCCTGACATCCAAGAGAAGATCCCAAGATTGTAACAAACTACAGATAGTGTCTTACAGCAGGAGCGATGTGTGCTGTCTGTCAAAGACACTGGTATAACATGTACATATCATGCCCTAAATACTGTATTTAGTTAAAGATGATGATAAAGAGGATCCTACGTAGGATGGTGAATTTGTCCCTGAGCGAGGGACCAAACATATCACGCAGGTAAAGTGGTAAAGATGACGATATCTTACCTGATCTCCACGCTTAAGGCCAGCTTCTGCTGCCTTGCTCCCAGGCTCCACAGCATCAATGAAAATGCGAAAACCTTTCTCCTGACCTCCAAGAAGGCTGAACGCCAGCGGAGAGTCCCTGGACGGCTTGGTCAGTGTCACTAGCCGCGGCTTGGCTTTAGCAGCACATGCTATATTTAACAGTCTGAGGTGCCCACACATTTTCTGAAAAACACACACATATGTCATGAAAGTGGAATAAATTAACCAAATACAGTTGCATGTTCAGAATCTCCCCTAAGTGCACTTGTTCCACTTACTTCTTTCTCCAGATTGTTTTCAAACTCTTCCAGAAAGTGAGTCATGGCAGGGTCACCCTCAAAGTCATTGAAGTGATTGTTTACCCACAGCAAGACTACCCGTGTAACCTGGAGCAATCACATGATTAAGTCAACATACCGTTTACTGCTTGATTAGTCAGTAAATATAAAATTCTTTACATCCCGACCCAAAAACGCCTGTGGATTCATGGAAAAGCTCTGTTAGTATAAAATTCTTTACATCCCGACCTGTGGATTCATGGAAAAGCTCTGTTAAATGTGTCTATCTACATTTTCATGGTATTAGGTCTTTAATCCTGTCACACAAGCAATCTATTCAGTTCTGTCTAACTGCATTATAGAGTCATCCATTTTATGTAGGTCACGCATTATTTCACTACAGAACTCCTCCTGTCCATACCTTGTCCCTGAGACTGGGGTCGTGGAACCACTCCAGGAGCTTCTTGCCCACGACCATGGGGCTGGAGAGGAAGGTCCTGTATGTCAACAGGAAGTCCTCGATGTAGGTGGGGTCCACTACTGAGTGCTCCTCCACGAGGTGCATGGTGAGACGCTCTGGTGTGCCCTGAGGTTTAATATTATGGTAATAACAGTAAAAAAACAACAACTTTCATGCAAGAGGACTGGTCTGCAAAGATTTGAATGTATATTTGTCACCTTGATGACAATGTGTCCCTTCCTGGTGCCGGTGCGGTCCAGTTCCCGGTGCTCCTTCACCATGACGATCTCTCCCTCTTCCTCAACCTTCTGCATGTTCTTCTCTACCTGGTTGAGGATGCAGCAGTAGTCCTGCTGGGCTATACACACAAACTGGACGAGACAGGGTGAAACAAGAATTAGAGACAAAACTGATACATTTCAAAACACACTTAAAAATATTTTAAAGATGATGTTACTGATGCCGTTACTAGATCCCCCTAAGCCTAGATGTCTTAACAGAGCAACTCACTGGAACTCATAAATAAAGGTCAGATTTAGAATGTAAATGAATACAACTGGTAAGAGCTGACTAGAAAGAAATTCTTCCTACCAACTAAACTACCATCTCCACTGATAAATTATGAAAACTGTAATTAGTAGTAGTAGCAGCCTCATGATTAAAGGACTAAAAATATTTCAGTGTCTTTACTTTCACTGCTTAATACTTCATTCCCAATAAAAGTGTGATGCAGAGAATATGATCTATGTTGAGCCTGTTCCCTGTCAAAATGATAGTTTCTTTAGTTTATTACATCGAAGGGGATGCTGTTTCTCAAAGCAACTTTCAATGTGTAAACACTGGCAGAACAAGTGAATCACAGCGGGGTTTGACATCATGCAACAGCAGTGCTCATACCATGCTTTTCACACTAAGATGCAGAGGAAATGGACCTATTCCCCCTGGCAGAGGAAGTGCTCTGCTAAACCCAATGGTCTTATACGTAAAATAACATTAACAGCAACGATCCTACCTGACAGTCGTCCACCTTGGTCTTCATGACACCCTTCATGTATTCCTTCTCCATGGTTGGCGATACCCCAAAGCTGTTCCCCATACACAGGATCTCTGTCTGGCCGTCAGGATACGTCACCTCCACAGACCCATTCAAAATCACTGACCATGAGTCCAGCTAGAGCCGAAACACAGGATTAGATTAGTTTGATGGTGGAGGAAGAAAGGAGAGCACAAAAAGAGAAACAAACAAAAAAACAGAAATAAAGAACTAAACATTTTTACAACACACACTGTACAACAATAACTTTGTAGACTGGGTTAAATTCAGTTTAGTCATATTCAGCTGGTGTTCCTTAATGAGTCAGAGCTATTTATCAAAAGGAACTACGTGCAATAACTACAAGGAGACTGCTGCACTGACAGATGGTTTCTTACTTTCTTCAGAGGGATACAGCAATAACATGGCATTATTAAAACTACCCATCAAAAACACAACTAATACATTAAATTGCAGAACACTCAGAGCATCGTTGCAAGCAACATAGCTTGACTGCCATTAAAAAGTATAATTCTTTTTATCCTTTTGAAGAATTTCTGAAAAGCTGACATTTTGGTGATTCACAGCTTTCACCCTGACAATGACAATATGCCCAATGAACCCTGAATTCTCTATAACTTGATGGCGCCTTGATGATGAATTCTGCTCTGTTGTTTGAGTGCGTTATAGCAAAAACAACAAATTCATTGAATCTCATGCTGTGTCTTGACCAGAGCAAAAGAGAGGGAATAAGTGAAGCCTGCTTTAGTTGCCAAAGGAATCCGAGAAAGGCTTGGTGAAAAGAGATGTGTGCAATTCCAGTTTAATAGAGCAGAAAAGAAGGAAAGATTCACTGGTGTGAACTTCACACAGACACACACATATATATATATATATATATACAGTGACATCAAAAAGTAGCCACTCCACCATAAAGGCCTGATTGATGTTCTGCTGAGATGGTTGTTCGTCTGATATATTCCCCTATTTCTGCAGATGTCGCTTTCTCTCGCCAAATTTTTATCAGAGATGTCTACACAGATCTCCTCGGACTTGTTGGATTTATTTTTCCAGATGTGAAGTATGAACTGTGGGACCTTATGTACACACAGGTGTGTGCCTGTCTAAACTATGTCCACTCAATTCAGTTTGCTACAGCTGGATGCGAACTCAACAGAAGCATCTGGAGGAAAATGAAAGGAAGCACCTGACCACAATTTGGAGTGCTAAGGCAACGGGTCTGCATATTTTTGTAACAGATCATTCAGATTTTGATGTTTGATGTATTTTAGACAGACAAACAGATACTTTATTGATCCTGAGGGAAATTCAGGTTAATCTTCTAAGAGCATGTCTCTTTGTCAATGTGAGCTACTGAGTGTAAAACCTGCAAATTTTATCAATTTAAAATTAAATCTACAACACAATAAAGGCTCAAGCAACCGTATAAATACAGTTGATGGAAAGACACAATCACAAAACCAATACACACCTCCTCCCCATCATTGAGAACAATGGTACCAGCACGTTCAACCACAGCAAAAACCATGACGGCGCAGAGCTCCCTCCTTACTGACATGGTCATGTTGGCAAATGCTGGCAGTTGATGCATGAACTCCAGTAATTGCTCTGTGAATGGGACAAGGAACAGAGAGTGGAGAAAGTCAAGGAGGTTGAGGCAAAACAGCAGGACACTCAGGACACTCTCCAAGTCTTGACACTCAGAGGAGAAACCGAAACAAAGTCTTGACACTCAGAGGAGAAACCGAGAACAGTGGGAAACCTTCACTGCCCTCACTTTCAGCCAAGCAGGCACAAGCTGGAGGGATCAAAATGGATCATCACCACCACAAACAGCCAACACAGGAATCATTATTTAGAGAACATAAAGCCAAATATCAATTCCACTTGCCTTCAAGGCAAGCCAAGAATAATTGCTGACACTTAACTCAGTGAGTTAAGGAAGTTTATTACCATCACTCAGCTACAACAGAGATCATATTTAACCTTCTGTCAAATGTGGCTGAAAGGTTCAGTTCATCCAAATGGTCAAAACAAATGCTCATATATCTCTAGAGATATCTAACCATGTAAATAGCTGAATGAAATTTAGTTTGTCCACCTCAGTGCACTATAAAAAGTGTCCTGACCAGGTTAAGAGCACCACATACAGTACAACACATGTTTAGAAAACAGTCTTCTAGTAAATAATTAAACAGAGTGGATAAAACACAAGATATAAAATTGTATACTTGTATCAAAACTCGTTAGATGAAAAGAAATATGGCTGATAAAATAACAGCTATATAATTCAAATCAAGGTAAAACTACTGTGTCTGCAGTTAGATGTAAGTGGTGACGGGGTGTCACTAAGGAAAACGTGTGGGTCAGGTAGCAGTGTGGCGTTCAGGTTGACCTGCGTTTGGCAACAAGTGCTGAGAGAGGTGAGGCGAGAGGAGGTACCAGAGAGACCTAGAGAAGCCAGTTAGTAAAGGGAGGTTTTAGAGAGGGTACGGTGGGGGGGGTGGGAGAAGGGGCTTCTTACTCCGCATTCAGTGCCCCATTCTCCCCAAGTCTACATCTGTGGCTAGGCTCTGAGAGTGTGTATGTTATTTTTAAACATGCCTATCATCATTATTAAAGTTGAGTCACAGCTTAAAGGAACATGATACTGTAAACCCAGTGTGGCTTTGAGAATGACTCAGAACCCTGCATTGTAAGTAGCAGCAAAGCAGAAAAGGCTTCTGACAACTGCAAGTTTACTGTGACCGATTTAAATAAGAGAGGAAGGAGTGGCTTTTGTAGAGCACTGAGTTCATCTAAAACTGGGACAAGGAGCAATGTCCCAGCAGAGAAAAACAGCAATGGTGCTATTCATAAGCTGCATCGAGACTCAAACACGGCTGCTTATAGAGTTCAGTAACTTAAACCAAAGACAAAAAGGGACAATAAAACCCCTTTGATTGAATGCTCACCTATGTCATCATCGGTTCTGTCCATGGGGTCCTTCTCCAGACAGTCCCGCACGATGTCCCGGCTCATGAGGGGGTCCGATGCTCGCTCGATGTCCTCCTCGTCGTCATCTTCCTCAGAATCAACAGCAGTCTCTGGCAGGCCACTCAGGTCCATGTCCCCTGGTTCGTTCTCTGTGGCCTGCAAAGAGTAAACGAATAAGAACTGAGTTAGTGATTAGTGACAAATGTGTGGAGGGATTTGTTGTTACTGTCCAACATCCATGGTTGGCAAAATACAGCTGGCTGTCCCATAACCACAAGGACAAAGTTCAGATCTCTGCAAGAACCAGTGTGCCCATCTATAACCACATGCACGCTCTCTCTTAGTAGGTGCTGACCAGGCCGGCGACCAAACTCCAACTCCCGAAACGCAGAGTAAACTCATTCATACACACCCGGGTAAAATTTCAGCAAAATACAATTACAGATGTGCAGCATTCACAACATGCACACACTGCTGAAACCATTTTACAGTACAAACATCAGCTGCGACAAAGGCATCTATAACCAAAAGCAAGCAGTAAAACTGTTGTGCAGTTTTAATCAATTTCATGAAATGGATTAGAGGGATTCAGTACAGTATGAGAAAGACAGAGATCGACACTGCATACCAAACAGCCCGCTGTGCATAGTAACAGGCTAATTAATTCCCAACTTTCCTCTCCTCCCCCCTCAGCAAACTCCACCACCTGTCTCACAGCCAGAGTCTGTTCTTTGAAAGCACAAGATGAAATGTGTGGAAAAAATAAGGAAAGAAAGTAAGGCAATTACTTGTGCATGAGTGGTACTAAATCAAAGAAAATACATCTGTAAATGGCAAAGGCCATGTTGCTTGGATCAAGCTTACACAACATGAAACCTTGTCATAGAAGAAACCAAAGCAGCTGGCAAAAGGGCTACGAAGTATCAGCTCTTCTGCCTCCCAACACTACAACAATAAATCCTCTTAACTGCAATATGGTGCCCAACCTTAGGTTTCATAATAGAAATAGTTGTCTCTGCAAACTGTCTGCAAAATCCCAGAGCCAGACACATCTTCATCTCCCAGACTGTCAGTCTGCTTCTCAAGGCTCAGAGTCCCTGGGCAACATCGTTCACCAAAACCCTATGTTATTTCTCCTCAAAGGGCAAGTGCAAAAGGCTCATTAATGATTCAGGCCAGTGTCTGAGTGGCCATTTGTCCATCATGGGCACACGCAGCCTAGAGTACAGGACTGGGATGGGGTCTGCAAAGATTATGTATGTGTGTGTGTGTGTGTGTGTGTGTGTGTGTGTGTGTGTGTGAGAGAGAGAGAAAGGCCTTTTGATGGTGGAAAGTCTCTGTTTCATTTTGAAGCAGTACACTATAGAAAAAACAATCTGACTTCATGGACATTTATTGCTGTATTTCAACAGATAGGACAAAACACACTAGAGCACCTGCATCTGCAGACAACAAATTAGGGAGCAAACATAAATCAGCACAGGGCTCATTGATGTGGGAGCAAAGATTATCCCGTCTGCTCCGATCACAAAAATGCTACTGTAGCACAGTACTGTAACACACAGTGCACTGCAGCTGGCTGGCAGGGTATGGGCTGGGTAGCCAGTCAGAGTGCCCATGCTGACTCCTGTCCACCAGTGAAAACACCTACAATAGGCACATGAGCATCAGAACTGGACCATGATGTAATGGAAGAAGATGGTCTGGTGTGATGAATTTCTGTAACAACACATGGGCGGCCAGGTGCGTCATTTACCTGGGGAAGAGATGGCACCAGGAAGTACAAGGGGAAAAAAGCAAGTCGGCGAAGGCAGTGTGGTGCACTGGGCGATGTTCTGCTGGGAAAATTTGGGTCCTGGTTTTCATGTGGATGTTATTTTAACATATACCACCATGGACAGATTATTGAATGGGCCTACCAGGCCTGAGGGCTCAGGGGGAACCTTGGGTCTTGCACTTATGCAAATGTTAACTTTGACGCACACCACCCACCATTGTTGCAGACCAAGTACACCCTTTCATGATGGAATTGGCCTCTGTCTGCAGGATAATGTGCCCTGTCACACTGCAAGAAATGTTCAGGAATAGTTTGAAGGCGTTGCCTTGACCTCCAAATTCCCCAGATCTTAATCTGCTCAAGCATCTGTGGGATGTGCTGGCAAAATTCAATTCAATTCAATTCAGTGTTATTTGCATAGCACCAAACAACAAAAGTCATCTCAAGACACTTCACAAAGTGAGGTCTAGATCTTACTAGTACTGTTATTATAACCGAGGAAAACCCCAGCAAATCCCCCTTGAGCAAGTGTGATCCAAAAACACGTCATCTCACAACTTACAGGACTTGAAGGATCTGCTGCCAACGTCTTGTGTCAGTTACCAGAGGACACCTTCAGTGGTCTGACCCGGTCTGGCACACAAAGGGGGCTACACAATGTTAGGGAGGTGGTTGATCAGTGTATATTCATTTAACAGGGTACAAAACAATCAAAACACCTCATGGAGCTAACTAGTTAAAACCTGGTTGCCCGCGTGTCTTTGTCTTTGTACACAGGCTTGTTTTTTTCTGTCACATATGCATCAAAACTCCATGAATGTGCAGTAAGCTTTAACAGTCAGTGGGCAAGTCTGGTGCTGTTAATATTTCATCAAGGCTATTCTTGGATCAATGCTCTCAATGTCCTTCTGAGGACAATTTCATGATTTATTCAGACACCAAACAGTGGTGACGTGACAATGGTGTGGGACTCTTCCCAGGATTCCTCATTTGCACAGACCAGTGGGGGCTCTGGAGAATAGACTGGCTGGGATGTCCAGTGGTTAAACAATTCTGTACTTCTCACCAAAAATATTAGCCCCTTTGAGCCCAGCAGTTCTTCATACCAGCATCAGCAAAATGTAAAAAAAAACATGTCATGTAGAATAAAAATAAAAGGGAACACTATAATATTTCCTTGACTATCAACTTCCCGTGTAAAGAACCAGGCCTCTCTTGATTTGTTTATTCAGAAATACTTGCAGGGTGGACCACAAACTTTGCTGTGGGGGGGAAATCAGTTGTTCAACCCAGAAAATGGGTAAAAGAACATCTACTCTATCTTCTTTAACTACTAACACATCATCCTCATCCTTACACGGGTGGAGCTGTGGCTACACCAAATGGATGATTAGCAGAGGAAAACAGAAAAAAACATTTCTGCAACATAAAATGTTTTTCCAGACTTCATTTTCTGTGAATTACTTGGTAGTATTTCCTCTCCAAACATTATTCAAATAAAAACAAGAAAAAGCACCATTATGAACTTTCACATTTGAACTACAGTAGTCCTGTGTTACCCACAGGCACTGAAATGTGACAAGTGGTCACAAGTAGACACTGCATTCAGCTACTCACAACCTAAAATGGTTGTTAAGCCAAGTAAATGTGACGTTCAGGCACAGAGCACCGGTAGGTAAGTAAAAAAGCTGTTCGAGTTGGGATCAGCAAAGAAAGACAGATATTGAGGAAAGGATAGAAAACAGGTGTGACTCAGAGAGACACAGAGATGAAGACACTGCCACAGAGCTGCTAGCAGATCGCTCTAAGACCAGGATGACAGACTGGCGACAGTAGAGCCAGTTCAACCTGCCCCAGATATCCTCAGCAGGGCCAGACATATCGACACACACACTACTGTAGCACAGCACACACTCAGTCAGGCTTTAATTATGAAGCTGTATTCAAACAATTCAGTGGAATGTCCCTGCACACGAACACAAGCCAGGAAGAGGTCTGAACAGAATAATGTGACTGTGACCGGTGGCACTGAGCACACTCACAAGCACATTCACAAATAAAAGCATATACACGAATATGCACACAGCAGGTGACAGGACTAGGAGCCAACGGGGTGGATACACTGTATTAAGAGGATTAGTTGCAGGGTTTGTGGCACATCCACAGTCACGAGATTTTGTGTGCGTGCTCTTTTAAGCTGAATCTATCTCTTTTTTTTCAGGAGGTGGACAATTGCTCGACTAGTTGACAATTCTCCTTTTATTCATTGTTTATTGTTGCCTTAATCACACTCTTAACACCTCAAAACATATTCTTTAAAGTGATATTTTAGCATAACAATCGCTCATAACGCTCCTTATCACGTGATATTTGTACGTCATTGCTCCCTGGGAGTTCAGTGATGAGAGGCAGAGCTGCAGTCAGGATGTAGGATGGACCACCTGCTCATAGCCACCAGCCAGTCTGCTCATCCCCTGCTGAGCAGTGACAGTGTCCTATTAGTGTCTTAGGGCCTATTTGGCTGCCAAGCCTTCCATTCTTTCCAAAAACTTGCTTTCCTATTTAATGAGACTAACTTGTGCTCCCAGAGGTATATTTGTCATTTCACCCAGGAGAGTTTTACCTAATTAGAATAACACGAGCTGGACTTTCTGCTCAACCCTCGTACTTCATTTATCCATAACGATTTATCCTCAGTCTGGGTTAGATCAGTTTATTTGCGCCATATATACACTAAGTTATTATGTCATGTTACTTAACACTAGGTAGTAAACTAAGAAAACATATTTACTGTCGAAGCATGTTTAGTTAAAATCATTAGTTCTGTCTTCTGACACAAATGTGACTCTTAAAGGAATAGTTTGACATTTTGGAGAAAACGCGTGTTCATACACCTCTCATTCCTACACAGTAAATATGAAGGTCAACCCAGGCAACGGTTAGCCTTAACAGGCACGCTGGCTCTGTCTGAAGGTAACAACATACACCTCACAGCACCTGCAAAGTTCTCTAATTACCTTGTTATGTCGTAGTTGTTGAATCCATACAAAAACAAGTTACGGTAGTTGCTGGCAGATATCAGTGATATCAAGAGAGGGAAGGAGGTTTAATCTCACATGACAAACTTTAGTGATATCAAGGGAGGGAGGGAGGTTTAATCTCACATGACAAACTTTATGACTTCATCTACTAGTTAACAAACTACTGCACCGACTGAACTGTTCGTCCAACTGCAGTCCGAGCTGGCGATCCATTGCCAAGGTGGGCAGGCCTTACCTGGTAAATGTCTGACAGGCTGCTGCTTCCAGAGTCGCTGGTGATACTACATCCTGAGTGGCTGGAGGAGACGTGGGTCACCTGTGGGTGCAAGCCGTCGGCCAGGTGAAGTCTGCTGAAGTCTGCGGGGAGCTGCACGCACACACAACAACATACACACAGATGGTCAGTATCAGCCAGCCCAGCAGCCAACACTGGTCACTCACACGACACTCATGCTGACTGGGACGGAAGTAGAAACACACTTATCGACAGGCTGCTCCTCGGATTGTGTGAAAATAAAAATAAAAACCAACAGTTTGTCTATTTAGATCTTACTGTACATCTTTAGTTTCCCTTTATTCATCCTGCCATTTTTATTTTATAGTGAACACGGGTGAACTGAAAAGTCAGACAAGGTTTACGACACTTGATTTAAGGACCAGATAAAAAAATAATATGGCCCCTTAAGTCTTACAAACACAAACTTTTTTGTAATCATTAATATTTGTTTTGATTCGACGGTTGTGAATGTACAACAATATTCATTAAAAAAAATCTAACTGCAAAAGCTCAACTGAACACATAATTTACTATCAAAGCAAGTAAAAAGATCAGTGGTAATTAAATCCTAATTAAATCATTAAACAGTTACCTTACCCTCAGCGTGTCAGCTAAAGAGCACAATAAATCCACTGTTGAGTAAAACCATAGGCTATATGAAAAATTCAGATTTAATCTATCAAATTTAAACTAACAGGTATAAGTGACAAAGTGACACCTCAATTAAGACAACAAAAACGCCCAAACTTTATTGGCACTTTTTTTTTTTTACACTTTACAAAGATTCTGCTATCAACTGCACTGGAACTCCTTTCATGAACTGAAAAACAAACAAGGAAATGCCCTAATTAAAGCAGGTACCTAGAGTAACCTAAATGAGAAGCAGGCAGCAATGCTGGGAAACCCCTCTGAGTAATTCATACTTTATAAAGAACCAGAAAGCTCCGCTGTAATTAGCTATACTGTACATGAGCCAACCCACTTCTATATGGAGATGACCTTGAAAACAAAACACATCAGAAACCCCCTGCTGGACTTTTAGAAGAGCGATGAATAAAACAAAAGCAAGAATAGAAGTTGGTACAGTAACCCCCCCCCCACGGCTACTATATTAACTGAGAAAATAACTGGCAGATTAATTAATGATCACAGTAGCTGGTAACTGAAGCCTTATTGAATATAATACTGTACCGTGCATCATCAATTTGATTTTAAATTGCTATATCACAAAAGAGTCAGAAAAGTGTGATATTCTGATAAAATTATACCCATTACAGCAACAAAGCTCTATTTCAGGCCGATGGCCCACTTACTGTGTTTAAAACACAGACATTTGGTTAAACTACAGTAGCATCAGGAAAGGCCAAGTCAACATTTTATTCCAACTGACAATTTATATACTATGTCAAATATGTCCAACATATAATGCTTTCAAATGAAATTCATCATATCCGACTTCTATGCCATAGAAGTGAATTATGAATTTAATCAAACAGCATCAACTGGTTCATGGGAACATAAATATTTTATTATGGAATGTTTTATTTACCAAATACATATTTAATATTCAGCAGGGAGAGTCCTCTGAACCAGCTGCAGCTCTACAGCTGGCTGTGGCAGATCATCAATATTACATGTTTACACCTAAAGTTATATTTATCTCGGTTGCTTTATTCATCATATGATATCAGAACTCAATCAAAACATCTCCTGTAGCAGTGTGATTTCAGATATAGATAGTGAAGGAGATTCTGGACTTTATTTATTTATGGTGGTTTTAATGTTTTCCTCTACATGGTAATAAGCGTTAACCAGATTTTAATAAGCACCAGTAAATAAATGAATTTCAGGGCCAATAAATCCCGAAGTAGGTGTGATTCTGGACAGATTGTACAGTCACTAGCCAAGACTTTAGCTCTTCACATCAGAGCAGTAAAAAGTAAAAAGATTTCTGAAGTGGCATCCACCTCAGCGCCATCACTTTGAGCCTCAGTTTTTGTAAATCATCCTCAACAGCAGCAACACTGAGAAGCTTCACATGGATGAAAAATGGGATACATTGGGCAGAAATACATCTAGTGAGCTTCATTTGCATGTAAATGGGTTTGAGCTGTCATCTGCTTTCAAACATACTCTAAGTCTGTCATCACCGCTTCAAAAGCACTCATCTGCATTACAGCTTCATTAAAGAGTTCTGGAGTTCATCACTGGAATACTGGATACTTATTTTGACTAAAACACGTCTCTATAGTCACAATCCAAAAAAAAAATGTTGTGGCATTCTCACTGGAAATTTTTCTGAGCTGCAAGTGAGGGGGGAAATTAGGATTAGGTGATATATCTCTTCACAAATCACTGTTATGTGTCAGAAACAAGAGCGTGAGAGCCAGACATTGCAGTTCCTGTGGCACTGAGGTGTGATGTGATTACACTGTGTCAAAGATTGCCATCATGTTTAATTATCTGGCTGGCTGCACGAACCAAAATGGTGGACCAGAGGGGTCTGTCAGTCACAAACGCGCCCTCGGGCTGCTATTTCCTGTCCTCTCGTCTGGTCGGCTTTACCCTGAATGCCTCCAGCTGACTTTCATGTTCTTATTATGGCTGGGCATGATTGTGTTAGCATGAAGAATGTCTGTATCTGTAGCTGCACTGATAAAACCTCATGATAGTTTCTTTTGATGACTTCTGGGACCAAAACAGCTCATGTTTTAGTGTATCACTTTTATGTAACGCAAACTTCAAAAGCAAAGTTGTGTTGGAGTTATTATTAATATTCATTATTATATATGATAGTGTCATGGTTTAACTTTGTTACCCCAAAAGAATATATACACACAATATATAGACTGTAAAGAGCCTTGAGGCAAATATGTGATTTGTGACACTGGGTTATACAAATAAAAATTTACTTGACCCATTTTTTTTTTATTCACATCGTCAGTATAAATCAAAATGCAGAGAGCCACAGACAGGCTGGGGAAGTTGTAAAGTATGGAGATAACACCATATAACACCAATAACAACACTGTAGAATATCAACAATTTGCTACTTGGAGAAAACACAAGATTGTTAAAAAAAGAGTAGTTGAAAACACTACTGCTATAAGCCTAAACCCTAAATTGTCAACATATTCTTAACATTAACATTGCACATTCAGTAAGTTGGAGTGTACTCGGGATAAATTAATTAATTATTCTCATTAATGAGAGTCAAAGACCAGTCTTGTGGAGTCTGTCAATATTTCCTTGATACCAGTCACTGAAGTGGCCTACATATCAATAATATCATCTCGACTGGAAAGATCCCCCCCTCCTCCACACAATAACTCTCTACAAACACAAGCCCCTCCCCTGGAAAGAGGTAAAATGCGGGCAGGAAATCAGGTTAAAGGGAGGATAATAAACAATCCTTTCTCTCTGCTCATTTAGGTCATTCATCTGTCGGTCAATAAGCCAGGGTCCATTCAGTCCACGTGGTCCAGTGAGCTTCTGGGCCCAGTGGCACATGAGAGTGGATGGATGCCAGCACAACAATGACTTGTTAAGCTTTTCCAATCAGTGGCACAGTAACACAGCAATAATGCACAGTGCATTGTTAACTCCAATCAATTTGCAGAAACGGTTAAATCTGTTTGTTATATGCTCAGCATCAGTCGTGGCATGAACACTGCAAAATACATAGAATCAGCTGTCACAGGAGCTTTAGGCATCACTCTAACGCTCAAGCCACAACACTCAGCTGTGCCTACATGTGAGCAGATGTGGCACTCCTTAAATTACACCGTAAACCTAATGACCCAGATTGCTGGGCAGAAGCAGTGGCTGGCTCTCAATCTCGTTACTGCCTGTATATACTGTATATGCTGGGCGTGAGTCTGTGCTACTACACCAGTTGTCCAATGCTGAAGCTGGCCAAATTCAGAAATGCTAAACATTTCAGATGTGTTTACTTTTTCTACTTGTTAAAAAATAAAAACAACTGCCCATGTTGGAAGGCTAAAAGACAGCAGGCACATCTCAGAGTTTCCCTGACCATGGTGGCAGCTTCTCACTTTCCTGAGCCTTACAGATCAAGAGATTAAAACCCTGCGGGGTGTCCGATATGCTCCCTGGGCTTCCCCTTTGTAGTCACAGCTCCATCAGTCAGCACCACATAAGCCAGCAGTTAGAGGCGGTGAGATGATTTGTACTGCTATTTTAAACACCGTCATTCTAAATATCAATATATATTAGTAGAAGAGCAACAAGTAAATCTCTAAATGATATCTGTTTTTACAATTTTGACTGTATTGCCTATTTTTAGCAAGGTTATAAAGGACAAATGTGATCATTTTTTACATTTTTTTATTAACATTTCAAGTAAATAAAGAACAAAAATGATGTCAAGTGCCATCAAGCCCAGCAAGGCTCCAACATTTGGGCACACATATAGCTATCAATTTCTTAAACTGCTTAAAGATAAGAAGACAGAATTCATGGCCAAGCAATAACTAAGGGATAAGGCCATACATGCTTATAAAACCCTGATAAATCAACATGAACTATACTGTGACACTGTAAGTCAACATGCAGCTTGTTGCAGTAAAAATAAAATCCAGCTGTAAGTTTGGAAATTACAGATCTCCAGAAGAAAGAATCACACATATTACAGCGAGTGACTGTGAACCTATTATGCTGATGTCATTACTGTAATAAGATCTGGTGGGTGCTATTACTGCCCATTTGGGGAGGGGGGGGTTTCCTGCTGGGCTTTAATGAATATTTACACAAGCCTCTCTTTACATGCTAAAAACATAAAAAAACAACAAAGAAATGAAGGGGAAGGAGCGACGCCAGGAGAGAGGTGAACATACAAATCTTCACAATCTGTAGCCAACAGTAAAACAAGCCAAACTCTGATTATTGCACTCATTTTCTCTGTTTTACATAATTGCCTCAAGTTTAGTCTAACTTAAGGTACATGTGTGTTGGGCTATAATTATGTTTTGGCAGTCGAAATGACTGTATCCTGCCAGTTATCCTGGAATAACAAGGATGTGCTACTTGAAGGAACACGGTCTGTTTTGTCTTTCTTCTATAGTAACCCT